CCCAGTTTGTTAGCAATATGACTAATAGTACTTTTTGATACATTAAGATTCATTTCAGATAATTCTTGTTGTATCACAGAATACGAATACTTTTTCGTCAAAAGATATTTGACGACCCCTTTGATATGTCAAATATTTTATTACGAGGCATTCGTTTGTCTAAAATATAAATATCATGACAGCTTCTTGAGTGTCAGCGGAACAAACTGACATGAGAACCATGCGATCTATATTAGTTAATAACGAAGAAAAACTGCATGCAAATCGTTTCAAAATAAACTGAACGACCTGTAGAAAAATCATCCATCTGTAAGCTAATATGGCTATGTTACTCACTTCCAGTTTCAACACCTTCATTGAATTTTTGTTGAAGAAATTGTTTTTATTTGTCGTTAAAACGTACGTTCGGCTTGTTTTTCTGAGAAGCCCAGTGTTGAGTAAGTGGTGGAATTGTTGAGCTGTTGACAGGTGACACAACAGTGATTGATAACAAGGGAGTTGAACGAAGATGATTTGTTGTTAAACTTTGATGAAAAAGAATTTTACTTTTGTCAATCAGAGAATGCTTTTCAAGTTTCATCTTATGTTTGCCAGTCGTATAATGCCGAAGAAGATTAGCATAGTAACGGTAACGTGCAACACAACCATTAACTTGACAATCAAATGCATAACAATGATCTTCTGATGCATTCTTCACATTTGACTCGTCTTCACTTAATTCTTCGCTGCTACTGCCAGCATCCGAATATGTATCATTTGGATAATCTTTATCTATGAAATAAATAAAAATTTTTAAAGATAAAAATAATGTTTTTACCAGCTTTTTCGTAATAATCATTAACCCATGGTACTGAAACATTTGTTGAAAAAAATACGTTCAAAGGATTGATTTTTACATTGTTCTTCTGCAAATCACATAATCGATATAATTTTCCGGGACCAACTTTCCAATATTGCCAAACACGAAGTTCAGTTGATTTTTTTGTAGACGATGTTGTTTGACGTTGTATATATTCAATGTTATTGATTTGTTTCACGCCTTTCCATTCGATTTTTTCATTATGTATATTTTGAACTTCACTTGCATAGAATTCTACTCCTTTCGTTCTTTCTAAGAAAATAGACAATGCAAAGTAAGTTGCTAAATCGAAGAGAACTAGTAAAAAATTTACCCGAAGCTTTCAGAAATTCAATCGCATTTGTACAGTTGTGTTTTTCATCAATAAAGCGACGAATTAAACATTTGATCACAGCTGCTATCCTGTCGCATGGCCCCTTTCCACTCTGTGGATCTGAAAAATCAATGGATCTTATCCATATTCCTGTATCTTTGAACAATTGCTCAACGCTCAATAACGTCTCACAACCATGGTAGCATCCAGCGTTATCGGATCTTAGATGTGCATATTTAATATTGGGTGCTGTTTGCCGAAGACATAGAAATATATGTCGAATAATTGATACAACTGTTTTAGCATTTTGTACGCATTGATCAAATACATGGCAAAATATTTTATGCTGAAATATATCATCATTTGAACTATGTTGGTTGGCAACTTCTGTCGAATCAAATGATGTATTAGGTGAATTTGATGATCTTGAAGATGTTTTACGAATTACATAAGCAATGTGCCATGATAAACCTCTTTTGGCAAAGTGATCTTTCTAAAAAATATTAGTACTGTATTGGATATCGCACATACATATGGGTAGAGATGTATCGAGACCAAGCTGAGACTCATGGTCTCAGTCTTGGTAAGTCTCGGACTCGGGCAATCTCCGGTGGATGAGTGGATGCGATGTCGGTGAGAGTGCGAGGCATGGGGAAGTGCAAACACCCAGCACCTAGTCAACATCTCAGCGCCCAGCCAGCACCTCGGCACCTGGCCAGCATCTAGCCAACACCTGGGCACTTGACCAACATCTGGCTAGCATCTAGCCAACACCTCGGCACTTGACTAGTAACTGGCCAGCACCTCGCCTGTTGACCAGCGCCCAGCCGCCTATACTGATTTCCTCAAGATAGCCATTCACCCATATAAACACTTGCGCTGACTGACCCAAACGTCTATAGTCAACCAACCACACATAACCAATGATCCACTCGAGACTGACCGGAACCACGCAAACCAATGCCGAGAGGTTCGATCTCGGTACATCGCTGCATATGAAAACTTACTGTTGATTCTCTATACTTAACTGGAAGCCATTTCATGGCCCAATCAACGTGAATCATGATTGTTTCGTCGTCGAGATTGTTTAAAATGGCTATACGAGATTGGTCTTGATGAATTGTACGTAATAGATGGGCTTTCCAGTCTTCAATACATCGAATTTGCTGTTGTACACGATAAAGTAAACGATCACGCATTGCTACGTCCGATTGATATTCTTCAATATATTTTCGAATTTTAGCCAGAGTAATTTTGAGCAATTCACATTGATCACATTGTTGATCATGATTATGATCACAAGCTTGATACCAGCATTTATCAGCAGCATCGCTTAGAGCATAGACGGAGCAATGATCTGGAACTGGATTGTTGCGTGAAATATGAACCTTGTAATCGGACTTCAAATAATTTCGACTGTCTTGAAGATCTCGTTTTAGTTCAGCTGCACTGTTTGATGGCAAGCCTAAAAGAAAGAAAAAAAGTACAAAAATAATTAGAAAGAATAGTTTGCGCTTTAAAACTCAGTTAAACGATCAATCATATCGTTTTATCTCTCTTATTGGTCTTGAAATCTAGCAATAGACGCAGCATGACGATCTTGACAAGTCATTAAAGAGCCAATGAGCAATTCTAGCTGCATGTAGGATATTCGATGTACTTCAGAATTATTAGAAAAATAAGAAATAGAACAAGAAGTAATCTGAAACTGTTGAAAAACCTAAAACGCGTTTAATACTATACCTAATGTTGACAATCCGTCAACAATTGATATTAAAAAATCGAATGCTGTTGATCCTTCGGCCGAAAAACTATCTAATCCTTGTAAGGAACGACGAGTTGATGCCGTACATTGATTTAATATTGAAAAAAGTGAACTTTGGCCTAATGGACGAAATGTGTTACTATAATATTCTTTGCAGTAATTATAATATTGAGTAATGATACGTTGTGGTGCTAAATTGCGGATTGTCAGTGGAATAAGAATAGTTTCACCGGTTGAAAGATGAAGTTCCTTCTGTCCAAAAGGTAAGTCAGTACAAATATGTGGAGAAACAATGAATTCAATAAAATGCTCTAATTGATAATCTTCATATCGAATCGTTGGAGTTCTGGTATCGTCGACAACAACACCTTTTCCTGTAGATTTGGCATATCGACGAGCTCTATAATAACGATATTCTGTTAAATTCGGAATAAACATAAGAATTGTTGAAAAGGTAACATCATTTGCCATGATCGAAAGAATTTGTTGACGAACCGTCCAATGAGATGCAGCATTGTAGGCTTCGGCAAGACTAGTCAATATTAAACGTAAATTCTTGTCTAGGTTTCCATTAGATAAAGAGATTTGCGTTGAATTTTCTATATTCGTTTGCCATATAACATTAGTATCATCATTAGGTGACATTATACCAAGAATATGTTTTAAAACATTGGTAGACTGTCGACAAAAACGTTTCTTGCTTGACGGTTGAAGTTTTACAAATGATTTTGTTGTAGGTACTGGACCATCATAGTTGACTTCTACAAATGAGGAGAAACAAATTATTTTGATGCACATAATTCGTACCGTTTTCAAGTTACCTTGAAGAAATTGTTTCAAACAGTCTTGTTTTTCATGAACGACTAGTTTATTGAAAGATTGAGATAAAACATTGTGAGAATTAGAACTAGATATGGATGGTGTATGTGTGAAATTTACATCATACAACCATTGACAAAGTTCATCACATTCTTCTCTAATTTCTTTTGTAATATACTTTTCAAGATCATTGCGGCACACTGTGCACATTTTTCGACCAAATGAAAGACGAATTGCATTTTTCTTCCAAGCTGCAAAAGCATATAATTTTGATATAGTTCGAAGGCCACTTTTGCTGGACTTTGAACGACCAAACGGTTTGCATAAGCAGCAATTCTTCAAAATTGAAGATTGTATAAGATTATCATGGTTATCACACACATGGAATTCTTCCACATTAAATGGAAGCAGGTCGAATTTGCCGTATTGCAATAAAAGACTTTCAATTTTAGACTTACAACCAAGTAAAGTTGAATTGTTGTCGGTGATAATAGTTGGTTTACATAAATAATAACAAGGTGTGGCTGTGCCACCACAACCACCAATATTATTAAAAAGACAAGAC